CAATGACAGGTAGCTAGCCTTGAGGTATTATCAATTTTTAAATTGTATGTGTGTGTGTGTGTGTGTTCTCTATCACAGACTGGGATTAAAAAAAAAAAAAGAAGTATAGGACATATTGACTATCTCTACTAATCTAAAATACCAAATATTTAAATGGATTCAAATTCAGGATGTGCAAGTGGTATTTATAAAATTGACATACATATTCCAGAATTTGAAAAAAAAATGAAATTTGAAATACTTGCCCCAAGTATTTAGGATAGGAAATTATCTATGTTTTCTCCATCACTCACTTTCATTTCTATCATTCAAGTTTTCCAAATATTACACATTAATGTAACAGCAACTCTCACTGTAGAGTTATAAAAATTAAGTAAAACAGTCTGTAAGCCAGGCAAGATGGTAGAACTGGTAATCCCAGCAGTCAAGAGATGAAGCAAGCGAAGTAAGAATTCAAAGCCAGGGAAGCTATTATATATAGCAAGATAGTAGAAAGGCATGAATAAGTGAGTGTGTGTGTGTGTGTGTGTGTGAGTGTGTATGTAGCAACTGATTAGTAAATTCAGGATACTAAGCCTTTGCCTTGCTAGCCCTCAAAACAAAGCAAAGCCAACAGTTTGATATTTTCTGAATCTAAACATATCTGAAGATTTAAGAGAACAAGATCCCATCTCTATCTACCATTACCTAATAATGTGAATATAAGTAAGCTGCTCAGAGTCTGTTTCTATACCTGAAAATGGGGTTCCTGCTGACATTAAAATGCCTGTTGTATCCTGAATACAATATCAACTATCAATACTACAAAAGATAATCATCAAACTTTCTTTAAAAAAAAATCAATGAAATTATGGCAAGAAATTTTGATATACTTTTTCCATTATTTTAATTCTTCAACAATTATACTCTGAATCTGAAAAGATTACCTATACACCTCTATAGACTATATATCTTTTTCCCTGTAACTAATTAAAAAATACAATCACCAAAATGCCTCAAATCTTGTTGAAATGTGTTAAGACAAAGAGGCGATAATTAAGCTGTTATAATAACTTTTTAACTCACTCCAAAACATAACACACTGCATGTAATTTCAAGGTTCTACACCTATCACACAAGTATCTACATTCAAACAATGCCCCATAACTTGCACTGATTCACAGTACACTCTTAAAAACTATTAAGACAACAGAAGCTAAAATGTATACATATAATATATATTATATATGGTAAGAAATGCATAACTGAAAGGCAATTTACCATGTTACGCTTATAAATTTGTATATGACTTTTCTCCTACTCCTGTATCTCCCATGAAAAACAGTCTCAGCATTGACAACTATAAAACCAAAATTCTGATCGACCACAAAGATGTTCACATCCTACAATATCAAATATTCAGCCAAGATTTAATTACTTAGATGATAATAAATAAATTTATCTTAATTTGCAATTTGCTTGTTTTAAAAAAATTATATATACATCAAAGAACCGTTGAAAATGCATTTCCCTTTGACTTATTATCAATGATTGTTTGATTAGTATACTTACTTTAGATACTTAACATCATGGTAAAAACTGGGCAAAAGAAGATCAAGAATAGAAAATATTTCTGAAGCCCTGTTCTAAAGCAGCACTTGAGCTTGGAATGTGGCATACACCTATAATCCATGTACTCAAGACAGGAGAATCTCTAACCCTGTACCAGCCAGCACCACATTGTAAGAGCTTATCTCAAAAAAAAAAAGTAAAACTGTTATTTTAGCCAATGAGGTGGCCATCCCTATAATCTGAGCTACTCAGGATGCTCAAACAGGATGATCACTTGAACCCAGAAATTCAAGCTTAGTTTAGACAACATCTTTCAATCGTGATTTCAAAAAATAGTAATTGTAAAATAACTAGCTAAAAAAGGTATCTCTATACCAAAGAATTACTAGACAGTTTTATGAAATTATATTTTTATTTGGAAACGGCACTATTTATTTATTGGAATATAGTAAATAATGTGCTGGCTGCAAGCCTAGCCAAAATAAATTTGAGCTCAAGGTTTGGAAAGAGACCTGGCTTCAAAGAAATATGGAGAAAAATGACAGAGAAGAACACTTGACAGTTTTATGTACCACACACACACAGACATGAGCATCCACATATACTTGAGCACACACCACACATTCATGTAATATACACGCGCGCGGACACACACACACACACACAACAGAAGAGATAATAATGGAACCACTAACTAGAGGACCTGAGGCTCCTGGACACTCATATGGAGCTGAGCTTCCTGGCAACTCAGTGTGAACTGTGACATGAAGAATAAATCTTATTTTAAAAAGGAAAAAAAAGTGGATTTGTATAATTAGTAGTAAATTTTAAAAACATACTAGAAAATCTGCCTAGGTAGCTAAGTGGCAGATATTTTGTCTACTATGTGTAAAGTCCTGGATTTAATTCACAGCACTATATGAATGATGAAAGTCATACATTAGCGGGGCGGTGGTGGCGCACGCCTTTAATCCCTGCCCTTGGGAGGCAGAGGCAGGTGGATTTCTGAGTTCGAGAGTTTGAGGCTAGCCTGGTCTACAGAGTGAGTTCCAGGACAGCCAGGGCTACACAGAGAAACCCTGTCTCGAAAAAACCAAAAAAAAAAAAGCAAGTCATACATGACCCAACAGGTTATATTCAGTAATATATACGTATAAACAAATACAAAAAAAGGCATTAAGTAATTTTTTAAAAAGAGGTCATGGATTTGAAAGAGGGCAGAGAGGAATATGTGAAAGGGTTTGGAAGGAGAAAAGGAAGAGAGAAAACTAATTAAATTGTAACCTCAAAAATAACAAAGGTAAATATGACATTTTTTAATATGAACACTTAGTAAACTTTATATATATTCCTAAATATATTTTAAAGTAATAAAAATACTAATAGATTTCTCACAAACAAAATTTTCCCCAAATAATCATGTTTTTTCTTAAAAACTTAGTCTAAAAATAATCTGTATCTTATCATTCAATTTTGCTGTCAATTTTAAATTCCTCTTTAAAAGCCTATCAGAAGCTAGAAAGTCAATTTGATGGCTCAAGCCTATTATATCCCAGTACTTGAGATGCTGAGCAGGTTCACCACAAATTCAAGAGTAGCTTGGGCTTCACAGAGAGTTCTAGGTCATCTTATACTAGAATGAGACCCTATCTTAAAAAATAAAATAAAATAAAATAAAGTAAAAATGACTCTAATTTAAGAACAATATCCTGGGACTAGAGAGATGGCTTAGCAGTTAAGAGTGCTTGTTGTTTCTGTAGAAACACACAAACACCCACAGAACAGCTCACAACCAGCAGTAATTCCAGTTCTAGGGAACCTGATGCCCTCTTCAGGCCTCTGTCACTAGACGCTGGCACAGTACACATACATATATGCAAGAAAACACTCATTCACATTAGATACTCTTTCACTTCAAATGGCTTTAAAAACACAAGATTCTAATTATGCCTAACTCAATTACAAAAATGGCACAATATTGTACACTTTCAACATTAAAACTATACTTCATTATAATAAAAACATAATTGATTTTTTTCAAAAAGGTATACAGTGTGTTGCAATTTTTAAACCTTTCAGAACATTTCTTACAGGTTTCAATACAGACACAAATTAGAGAAAAATTAGAATGCAAAGTTACTCTTTGTGTTAAATAACGTTAAACGAAACACAGCACCCTTTCACCATAGCTGGCTAGTATCAAAATAGACCTAAGCTGAAATTTGCAAATGCAGCAAAAACAAAGCCTTGTGACCAATGTATTTTCAAATTACAATATAACAACAATACTCATACTAATCAAAAGTGGATTAGTATTACAAAACGCCTCCCTGGTTATTTTTAAGTAATTTCTTAAGTCTCTTAAAGAAGCTGACCCTCCCAAAGAAAACCTCTAAAGTGTTCAAAAAGTGTTTATATATGAAACAAATCTTTTTTTCCCTAATAGTCACCAATGCTATTGAAATTCTAAGGGTCAACTATGATTGATGTGAAATCTACAAAACATTTTTGGCCTATTATTACTACTTCCCATCTCAACACTTTCCCTTCATCAAGATAAACCTACAATAATAAATATATACCCATTTCACTTATGAAAAGAACACTTTAAGGAGACAATTCTAACTTATAGAGAGCCATTTGCCCTTATCATGTCACAGTGAACTACCAAAATTAATTTCCAAACTGAATAAGGTATTAGCCACTACCAAAATGATAAGACCCAAAATATTTTTTACTTTAGTGTGTTTGATGCCTTGGATATAGTAAATATGTAAAAATATAACTGCATATTAGATATAATATTTATACGTAAATAAATATAATAATTCTAAGGAACAAGTTAGTGTTCAGTCTGGGGGCTCTTAATCACACCTGTAATTCACAGAACTTCTTTCCTTTCTCTCCTACTTCTCTAAAGAGATGAGTGTTTTATGAATCGCAACGCTTCCAGCAGACATTAAGTAGGAGTTTGCAACTGCAGTAAAAAAAAAAATTCTGACCAATGAATTTGCAACTTACATTAATATACTCATTTAAATACCTGTACTCAATGCCTCTCACTCAACTAAGTATCTAGCTTCAGCAGGGAGCTCTGGAGTTACAATAGACAGCGGCTGCCTTTATAGTGCCAAGTTCTGCAGGATCCCGGACACCATCTCAATTAGGAAGGGGCAGAACCATATCCGGTTCCCACTAAATACAGTTTCCCATGCTTCCCATCTTAAAAACTTTTACGTCTTCCCAGAAGAGTAATAAATGTACGAAGACGCCAGGAAGAGTGCCTGTAGGGGAAAATGACTGATCAAATTAAATCCCTATATATGGAACCCGAAACTTCAAAACTTGTCAAACAAATTACAGCGGCAGGAGCACGGAACGTGTTGCCCCTTCTTTCCCACTTACAAGGAGCCAGCTTCCACACTCCCTCAACAGCAGTTTTGACTTACTGGTTAGTTGGAGGTGCGGTCAGCGGTATGGCCACCTCTTCCTCCTCGTATTCTGGTCCATCCAGGGAGTCACCTTCATCCACTGTCCCCAGACCGGAGCCCAAAGGGGGCAGCTGAGGCGGCGGCGGCAGAGGAGGGAATCCGCCGCCCGGCCCGAGCGTCTCAGCAGGCAAAGACAGAGTCCCCTTGGTGAAAGCGACGTCTCCGGCAGGTCCGGCGGCCGCAGCACCCGCCACGCCAGCAGCAGCACCGCCGGGCAGCGCGGCGCCCCCCAGGACACTGGCCACCGGCCCGGTCCCCAGGAACCCGGACCCCGACGCGGCTCCGCCACCAAGGGCCGCAGCCAGGTCGGCGTCCGCCAGCCCAGGACATGGGGCGGCTGCCACCGGCAGGGCCGCGGGTAACTTTACCCTGCACGCTGCCGGGTAGGCGCTGGAGCCCGTGGCCGCGCCGCCGCCGGCCCCGGCAGTTGCCGGGCCGCCTTCCTCACTGCCCGCCTCGGCCGCCATCATGTTGAAGCCCGCTCTCCTCTAGCTACCCCGCCGCCCGGGAGACCCGGGGGCCAGCAGGCCCGGGCTGCGAGCCGCCCCACCCAGGCGCGTCCCCCTTCAGCTCTCCAGGCAGAGGAAACAACAACAAAAGGAGAGCGCCCGCCGCCGCGCCCCCTCCCCGGGCCACAGCCCAAGCTCCGCGGCTGCTGGCTGGCTTACGGGAAGCGACGCGGGCAAAAAAAGCCCGGCGCCTGCAGAAACGCTAGGCGAGCCTCACCGCGCACACCCACACTCACGCGCACACATGCACAGGGGCGCCAAACTTCCTGGCTACACTAAAGAGGAAGGGAAGCCCGCTGCAGCGGCTGAGGCAGCGCCGCCTCGGCCACCGCCGCAGCGCCTCAATGCCCGGGTTCCGGCCGCCCCCACCGCAGCCAACGCTGGGGCCGCCGGACCCGCGGCCGCGGCAGCCTCATCTCCGCCGGCTGGAGACCCGAGCGGTGGGAGGGGCGGAGGAAGGGGGCGGGCCCGCAGAGCCCGAGTCGCCCGCTGGCTACCTGCGGCTCTCGGGGGGCGAAACCCAGGAGAGAAAGGAGGGCGGGGCCGGGAGGAAGGGAGGGGAGGAGCGGATGGGCGGAGCGGGGGCTTCTGCGCAGGCGCCTTCCGGGAGCGCGTCGGGACAGAGGAGACGGAAAAGCAGCCTGGGCAGGAAGCAGCGGGCGCGCGCGGAGGCGTGGCACACTTTCCCACTGAGCGGTGCTGGACGTGCGGCGCGCGGTTCCTGCTCGCCACCAGGCTCATTGCAGGCCTACCTCTCCTGGCTTTGTTAACAGGGAGAGAAGAAGGATAGCTCATCTCCAGGCCCAAGGGACTGGAGGGACCAGGAGGCGGTGGGAAGGAAAGGATGATGCCAGGAAGTCCATTCGCTACTTTGTAACTTGTAGAAAAAAATGGCCTTAGCAGCCCGTGCAATCAGCATCAAAAGTCAAATCAGCATTCATAGTTTATTCCTTTCCGTTGCATGATATAAATCACCGTATAACTTAGATAAAATAATTTAACCCTAGATCCTTGGACCCAACAAAACTGATGAAAAGAGCTATGGAAAGTGTGAAAGTAGAAATCAATTCTACCACTATATACATAAGTTCTCGTCACCAAATGTCTCGTATATACATTTGCCTGTCAGAGAAGGAATGAAGTATGAAGAGGAAAAGTGCCACCGAAGTCATAAATCAATTTATTTTGTCCTAGTTTGTATGCAAAAATCTGCAACACATACCGAAGACGTACCACATGTCTGAACTTTGCAAAATTACCGAACTCAGATTGATGTCACCCTTAATACGTTCTGGGAAAAGGTTTTGTTTCCCATATGTGTGTATAAATAAATTCATAGACACACACTCAACTGTTAATATTGTCTTTTGGTGTTCCCTGGGGATAGGTTCCAGGATCCTGAAGAGTTCCAAAATTATTATCTTATGTAATTTGTTCATATTTTCCCATTTACACAGTAAATCATCTCTAGCTAATCCACAATACTTAATATAACCTAAATGTCATTTATGTCGTTATTATTATGGAATGATAGCAAAAAGTCTGTGCAGGTGGAATTTTTTTCCAGATATTTTTATATGAGGTATGTGCTACCCATGAGAACATAGCTTGCTGATATGAGAACAGATAGTATATAAGCAGGCATTTGTTTAGAGAGATCGTGCTGCTTGTTTGAAATATATCAGTGCTAGAAATTTGCCCTTCGGGATTCATGTATTGTACTGGCTTTTCTGTTCTCCCTGGAGAGTGTCACATTGAATGCCACTGATTATTGATAATATTTTCTCTGTTAAGTTTGACCAAGCCACCTTGCTAAGTATTGCAAGAGGCTGAGGTAGAATACCCAGGGAAAGGGGGCGGGGCGAGGGGTGCCATTAAGGGAGATGACAAAGTGCAGACAGGACATTTCCACCATTTGTCTGCATATTCCTGTATTCCCTGTCTATAACAACAATCAAACTGAATTAAACAGTTCTGCTGGCCACTTGTGTGGTGTGTCAGCTGAGAAAGTGAAAGTAAATTGCATAAGGGAGCTGGAACTTAGAGTGAAACTAACCAATAAGGTGTAAGAAATTTTTATCCGAGAATTTCTGAATCAGAAACTGCACCATTTGTGTTTAAATGAGTCCTTTCAGTGATTGTTGGCACACTTAAATTTGAGAGCTACTGTGCTTTACTATAATATACTAATTGAGGAGGCAATATACAGTAACTTGAAAAGCTGTAAAAAGAACAGGTGTCATTCATTAGGGGGATGGGTAAAATGTGAATATTGGTTTGCTAAGGTCTGTACTCTTCTAAACCAGTTAGCAGATGAGAACAAAATGAAGCACACCCATAATCGCTAAAGTACTAATGAAATGCTGCTTCTCGTAGCAGCCTCCTTAGAGCAGATTTTCTTTTAAATGTACACCAAAATCCCAACGGGGCCTACTGCTGAGTGCATGAGCCACAGGTGCAGCTTCCCAGCCTCTTCTCAACCATCCAAGTTAGAATTCAGGTCTTTGAACTGACTGTTAGGTTATCTATCACTACCTATTTATCAATCTTCTCAATGTATTCAACGCCCTCTTCCTGAAAATTCAGGTCATGCTCCCTATTCCAATCACAAACTTACCTTCTCCTTTTCCCAAAATTTGGTAGCACTCAAATATCCAAATTTAATATAGCCTGATACCCCCTAGACATTTACATATTGTTTCCCAGTTACTTTTAACTAAGTATAACGAGAAAATTTCACTGTAGTAACAACCCATGGTCCATCTTTTCTTCTAGCTCAATTCTACTTGCTGCTTTTAACAGAGCACCTTTCTTTGAAAGCATAAACACATATTACATCACAGCACATATTTGGAAATTAATTTTTGATCAGCAGGAAGGAACTAATAAATCTATTTGTAAAGTGTGTGTGTGTGTGTGTGTGTGTGTGTGTGTGTGTGTGTGTGTATGATATGTATTCCTATTTGAAGTACCAGGCAAAACTGTCCTTTGTTCTTTTACTACTGCTTACATACTTTTAAAGTCATTTATTTGCATGAGTGTTTTACCTGTATGTATGTCTGTGTACCATGTGTGTGTGCATTGTCTGCTGAGTCCAAAAGAATGCATTGTGCATTTTCCATGGAGGCCAGAAAAGGACTTAAGAAACTGGAGTTGCAGATGGTTGTTAGCTGCCATGTGGGTACTGGGGATTGAACCCAGGACCTCTAGAAGAGGAGCAAATGACCTTACCTGCTGAACCATCTCTAACCCCCACACTTTATTGATCTCTGTTGTCTTTTATGTTTTGTGTCCTTTTAGTGTACCCGAAACTAATGTTCCTACTTCATTTAGTTTTCTGTTTGACCTTTTTTCTTTTTCTACTTCTCTTATTTTTTTCCTGCTAATTTCTATTTCATGTTGTGCTTCTGTGTCTTCTTATAACCCCCTAAATTCCCTGTTGCGATTATACTTGAAGCTTCATGAGTCAAAAACTGAAGGACAATTTTTATTTAAGAAATGGAATTATTTGTTTGGAGAGGGACATGACAAGGATTCTGCAGGAACTGCTGTTAAGTATGATCTTATGTAACATCAGTTAACAAAGGGAAGTAAACAGTCTTAATTAAATTCACAGATAGTATTCAACCAGAGGGGTGCTGGAAGGCAGAATAGCTTTTACATTCAGTAAAATAATCCATTATATTTGTGATTTTACAAAAAATAACTTGGATCACTTAGTATTAGTAAATATATTTAATGACAAATCTTAAAAACCTAGGAAAAGGCATCCATCCATAAGGAGATATTGAAAGTTTGCAATAATACACATTTATTTATTCTCATTTCATTGCCAACTCGGATATTACTGTAATTCACTCCAACCTATTTTTGCATCTTCTGTATATCAAGTTGATAAAAAAGCCATTGAGCATAGCAGAGAACCTGAATGTGCTTAAGCAAATATAGGAAGAATCGATGGTGGGACAATTAGGTAAGAAGCAGTAAGGAGCTTACAACTGTGGTGAAGAATTCCACGGTGTGTCCATGTCTCAGCACATCCTCAGCTGTGCCAACTGGCTCCTATATTTGTTTACTGTCAAAAGATTTCATTGGCTCAACTAATGTGAAGAAGAAACCCTTACTTCTAATCCTAATATCCTTGGATGCATTTGGTGACCTCAAGTACTGTCCCTCAGAGCACTTTCATAACTTTATTGCTTCTCACTTAATTGTCCCACCATCAACAGCTTCCCTGTTCCTGCTTTGAACCTTGCGCCATCTTGGTTCAGAGAAGCCCAGTAAAGGGCCCTTGAACAATACTGCCTCTCAATTTCAACTTCAGTTCCTCCCTGTTCAATGGTGGATCTTGCTATACCTATTATAGTAATAATAATAATAAAATAATAATAATAATAATAATAATAATGTCTGTTACTTTCAATTTAACCTCAAACAAATTCTAAGGATAAGAGCCAAAAAGCACATTCTTTGCCAGGTTATCACAGCACTTGTCTCCAGCCCAGTTGGAATATTGTTTCCCTCTAAATCTGGACCTCCACAGACTGACTACATTGCTGTCAGCCCCTACTAGCTTCCATGGCCTGACTAGGATGTTCCACTAAGCCACACTTACAAGTTCAAATGCTTTCCTTGTACAAAGTCCCAAACTCTCCCACATTTCTTCAAAGGACCATACTACGTGGTCAGATCTGTTACATCAATAACCCCACTTCCTGGTACTAACATTTGTCATAGTTATTTTTCTATTATGGTGATAAAGCACCATGACAAAGACAGTTCATAAAAGAAAGCATTTAATTGGACTTAAAGCCTTAAAGGGTTAGAGTTCATAATGTCTGAGCAAAGGTATGGCGGCAGGAACAACTGGGAGCTGCAAGTAGGAGGCCGAAGAGAAGACACACTGGGAATGGAGCCAGTCCTGTGAAAACTCAAAGCTTTCCCCTAGTGACACACCTCTTTAACAAGCCCATACCCCCTAATCCTTCCCAAACAATACCACCACCTGGGGATCAAGTATTCAGATATATGAGCCTATGAGGGTTCTTCTCTTTCAGAGATAATATATTGACTATAGAATTTATAAAACAAAAATAAAAGTATACCCTTAACAATTTATTATCTCCATCTCTCCTTCAGCCGGAAGCCTAACGGCTTGTCCCAAGTAACCCTTGCCAGACATCTCTGACAAACCACCTGCAGCAGAGCTTCAGGTCCTGGCTGCCCCGAGATCTGACATGATTGTAGTATGCTCCTCATTTCAAAGCATGGCAGAAAAGCCCCGTCTCCCCGTGTCCTTTTCCTCTTGGGACCTGGAAGTCCAACCTGTCCCTTCCGCCCAGCCATTTTTCCATTTTGTCATGGAAAAAATAAAAGAATAGTTTAATCGCTGATGCAATTAAGCACACTTCAAAGAAATTAACAGCCTTTTAGAGAATTCCTGTAAATATTCACATTCACATGTTCTCATAAAGACTTTAAACTTTAAACCCAAACACACACACACACACACACACACACACACACATTTATTCAACAT